CGCGGAGACCAGGGGACACTGAAGAGTGACGCACACAGCTGGGAGACCAGGGGACACTAAAGAGTGACGCACACAGCTGGAGACCAGGGGACACTAAAGAGTGACGCACACAGCTGGAGACCAGGGGACACTAAAGAGTGACGCACACAGCTCGGAGACCAGGGGACACTAAAGAGTGACGCACACAGCTCGGAGACCAGGGGACACTAAAGAGTGACGCACACAGCGCGGAGACCAGGGGACACTAAAGAGTGACGCACACAGCTGGGAGACCAGGGGACACTAAAGAGTGACGCACACAGCTGGGAGACCAGGGGACACTAAAGAGTGACGCACACAGCTGGAGACCAGGGGACACTAAAGAGTGACGCACACAGCTCGGAGACCAGGGGACACTAAAGAGTGACGCACACAGCTGGAGACCAGGGGACACTAAAGAGTGACGCACACAGCTCGGAGACCAGGGGACACTAAAGAGTGACGCACACAGCTGGGAGACCAGGGGACACTAAAGAGTGACGCACACAGCTGGAGACCAGGGGACACTAAAGAGTGACGCACATAGCTGGAGACCAGGGGACACTAAAGAGTGACGCACACAGCTCGGAGACCAGGGGACACTAAAGAGTGACGCACACAGCTGGAGACCAGGGGACACTAAAGAGTGACGCACACAGCTGGGAGACCAGGGGACACTAAAGAGTGACGCACACAGCTGGAGACCAGGGGACACTAAAGAGTGACGCACACAGCTCGGAGACCAGGGGACACTAAAGAGTGACGCACACAGCTGGAGACCAGGGGACACTAAAGAGTGACGCACACAGCTCGGAGACCAGGGGACACTAAAGAGTGACGCACACAGCTGGGAGACCAGGGGACACTAAAGAGTGACGCACACAGCTGGAGACCAGGGGACACTAAAGAGTTACGCACACAGCTGGAGACCAGGGGACACTAAAGAGTGACGCACACAGCTCGGAGACCAGGGGACACTAAAGAGTGACGCACACAGCTCGGAGACCAGGGGACACTAAAGAGTGACGCACACAGCTGGGAGACCAGGGGACACTAAAGAGTGACGCACACAGCTGGAGACCAGGGGACACTAAAGAGTGACGCACACAGCTGGAGACCAGGGGACACTAAAGAGTGACGCACACAGCTCGGAGACCAGGGGACACTAAAGAGTGACGCACACAGCTGGAGACCAGGGGACACTAAAGAGTGACGCACACAGCTGGGAGACCAGGGGACACTAAAGAGTGACGCACACAGCTGGAGACCAGGGGACACTAAAGAGTGACGCACACAGCTCGGAGACCAGGGGACACTAAAGAGTGACGCACACAGCTGGAGACCAGGGGACACTAAAGAGTGACGCACACAGCTGGGAGACCAGGGGACACTAAAGAGTGACGCACACAGCTGGAGACCAGGGGACACTAAAGAGTGACGCACACAGCTCGGAGACCAGGGGACACTAAAGAGTGACGCACACAGCTGGAGACCAGGGGACACTAAAGAGTGACGCACACAGCTCGGAGACCAGGGGACACTAAAGAGTGACGCACACAGCTGGGAGACCAGGGGACACTAAAGAGTGACGCACACAGCTGGAGACCAGGGGACACTAAAGAGTGACGCACACAGCTGGAGACCAGGGGACACTAAAGAGTGACGCACACAGCTCGGAGACCAGGGGACACTAAAGAGTGACGCACACAGCTGGAGACCAGGGGACACTAAAGAGTGACCACCTGTCTTGTGAATTCTCTGGCCGTAACTCCAAATAAACCGTCAGTGTTTGCCATCAAAGCTCCAGCTCTCCTCGTGTCTCTTTGAGTCCTGACTCCATCAAAGCTCCAGCTCTCCTCGTGTCTCTTTGAGTCCTGACTCCATCAAAGCTCCAGCTCTCCTCGTGTCTCTCTCTGAGTCCTGACTCCATCAAAGCTCCAGCTCTCCTCGTGTCTCTCTGAGTCCTGACTCCATCAAAGCTCCAGCTCTCCTCGTGTCTCTCTGAGTCCTGACTCCATCAAAGCTCCAGCTCTCCTCGTGTCTCTCTGAGTCCTGACTCCATCAAAGCTCCAGCTCTCCTCGTGTCTCTCTGAGTCCTGACTCCATCAAAGCTCCAGCTCTCCTCGTGTCTCTCTGAGTCCTGACTCCATCAGAGCTCCAGCTCTCCTCGTGTCTCTCTGAGTCCTGACTCCATCAAAGCTCCAGCTCTCCTCGTGTCTCTTTGAGTCCTGACTCCATCAAAGCTCCAGCTCTCCTCGTCTCTCTCTGAGTCCTGACTCCATCAGAGCTCCAGCTCTCCTCGTGTCTCTCTCTGAGTCCTGACTCCATCAAAGCTCCATCTCTCCTCGTCTCTCTCTGAGTCCTGACTCCATCAAAGCTCCAGCTCTCCTCGTGTCTCTCTGAGTCCTGACTCCATCAAAGCTCCAGCTCTCCTCATGTCTCTCTGAGTCCTGACTCCATCAGAGCTCCAGCTCTCCTCGTCTCTCTCTCTGAGTCCTGACTCCATCAAAGCTCCATCTCTCCTCGTGTCTCTCTGAGTCCTGACTCCATCAGAGCTCCAGCTCTCCTCGTGTCTCTCTGAGTCCTGACTCCATCAAAGCTCCATCTCCTCGTCTCTCTCTGAGTCCTGACTCCATCAAAGCTCAGCTCTCCTCGTGTCTCTCTGAGTCCTGACTCCATCAAAGCTCCAGCTCTCCTCGTGTCTCTCTGAGTCCTGACTCCATCAAAGCTCCAGCTCTCCTCGTGTCTCTCTGAGTCCTGACTCCATCAAAGCTCCATCTCTCCTCGTGTCTCTCTGAGTCCTGACTCCATCAAAGCTCCAGCTCTCCTCGT